GGCTTAATATCAGCCATTGGATGGACCACTTTAGGAGATCACTGTAGGATCCACACTCCAGAGGATCCTGACGCCAACAATGACACCAAATCCCATGTTGAGATAGCCAACATAGGATAAACTCAACATTTTCAATAAGAAGGTTTAGGAAAGTTGGTAAAAAATTAATTTTTTGACTTTTTTATTTTGTCTTTTTATAGGTAAATTATGTGAAAGGTGATTTGACTCAAAATAGATAAAAAGCTGAAAATTGACTTTTTACCAACTTTCCAAAAGACTCTAAAATGCAATATTGGAGTATCACCAATCTCGGTTTTGTTTATTTATTTATTTACAAAGATAATGTTAGTATGTTAGTATAATTAAATTACTATTGAAAGATTTCGTTGTTGTTTTATCAATTCAAACTTTTTTTTTTAAACTACATCAATTTGAACCATTAACCTTCCCTTCACGGCATTCTAACATGTGGCTACTAGACCATTGGAGAAACACCACCATGTTTGGTTTCAGAAAATTGAGTCAACTTTTTAAAAAATTAAATTTTTTTATTTTCCATGTGTTTTTTATTTTAGTAAATTTTTTTAATATTTTGTACAAATTTTTTTATTTTTTAGATAGACATAATCTAAATACATTTAAAAAAATATAATATTTATGAAAAAAACTTTAAAAAACTTACCAAATATAAAAAAATATAAAAATATAATATATTTTTATATTTTATTGTATTCAATAAGTCTTTTTTATAAATTTTTTACTTTTCAAATATATTAAAATTAAGTGAATCTAATTTTTTAAAAAAATTAATTAAAATATTTTTTTAAAATTATTAAAAATATAAAAATACGAATTAAAAATTTTAAAAATTCAAAAGCAAACAATTCCAGCAAGCTCGTTTGACTTTCCTATAATATAGAGGCCATGTTTATTTAGCAGATTAAGTTGAATGGAATTATTAGTGAAGATATAGTTAGTGAAGAAATTACTAATGTGTGTATTGTTAGTGAGGAGATTAGGTAAAAATATATTTGTTTTGATGATATAATGTTGAAAATGATTAGTGATAGAATTATTAAATTATTTTTATAAAAAATCTAAAAAAATAATTTGTATATTAAAAAAAATATCTAAAACAAATATATATATACATATATATTTTAAATAACATGTTGCAATTGTAAAAAAAACAAAAAAAATAAGTATTGTTTCGGTCAACCATCTGGATGACTGGTCGAACATTCGGAAAGAGTCCAAATGGATGACTAAAGGGCTGGTTTGGCATTAGGGATGACAATTTAAAACCGGCCCGACGGGGACCCGCTCCCCCAATCTTGATTAGAGCGATTTTTCCACGAAAAATACTCCCGACGAGCCGGGGATGGTATTCGAAATTAAATCCCTAATGATTTTCGGGCCAGGGACGGTGATATGTTTTTCAACCCTGGCCCGTCCCCGACCCCGTCCCCGTTTCCCCCCGAAGTAAAATTACTGTCATACCCCTCAATCCTCTATTCATATATATATAGCCTCAAGGCTGTATTGCACTTAACTGAACCCCTCTTATCTTTTTCTCTCTCTCTCTCTCCCCTCTACTCTCTCTCACTCTCACTAACTCATTCTCGCATCTCTTCTCCTTACCAACGTTGTCCGCAATGTCTTCTCCTTAGTGCCACTGCCGCTGTCCGCAATGCCGACGTCGCGTCCAACTCGCACTTCCGTCGACTCTGCACCTTAGTCCACCACGTCACTCTCACACCTCCCCTCCACCTCTGTCTACCTCGCACCACCGCTCTACCTCCTCCGTCGTCCATCGTCGCCGATCTGCGATCTGTTGTTGCCATTCCACCTCCTCCGTCGTCCATCGCCGCAGATCTAAGATCTATTGTTGCCGCTCCACCTCCTCCGCCGTCCATCACCGTGAATTTGAGATTTGTTTATGTTGATATTTTGTTGATGATTTTGTTAATTTCAGATCTGTTGATGTTGTCGATGATGATTTGTGTTGTTATTATTATTTTTTTTTTTTTGGCCCAGGAGTTTTCGGGGTCGGGGAAACCCGATCCCTATTAGGAGACAGGAATAATGACGGTGACAAGTTTACCGTCGGGGATCGGGGTCGGGGACGGGAAAAATTTCAACCTCGGGGATCGGGGACGGGGAGTGTGATCCCCAATCCCGCCCCGCCCCGTTGCCATTCCTATTTGGCATCCATGAAAAAAGACAAAAAGCTAAAAAGTTACTAAAAAAATCAAAAAATTATTACTATTTACACAAAAAATATTTAAAAAAAAACAAATTTAAAAAAAAAGTACAAATCAAGTTTTGGCATGGCAATGATGGTGATGTCTAGTGCTGTCAAAACATTTATGTATATATATGTGAATAAATATTATTGGAATGATGCGCTGTCACAGAACATATATGTATATAGGCTGAGGTGTCATGGGTATTGTTGGGCCAGTGGGAGCCTGCCAAGGGTCCTGTTTTGATAATCGGAACCGTCAATATGTAGAACTCGTCGAATACTATATGCCTGTAAAAAATCATGCTAATCAGATATCGATAACTATATGATCAAATCAGTTTTGTATAAAAAAAATGGACGGTGCACAAAGTAACGGTCGACAAAAAACTAATCCGATCAGATAGCTATCGACATCCGATCAACGTGATTGTTTACGATCATGTAGTACTTGACAAGTTTTACACATTAAACGGTTTCGATTATCAAAACGGGACCCGCGGTGGGCCCCCACGGACCGAACAGTACCGTCCAGTCTAAACAGCACTGTAGGCAATCTGGTCTTAACTGCCTACTGTAGGCATGACGGTACCATCACTGTCAATAGGCATTTATATATGTAGGGGTAATATACTAATTTTGTTATTTTATATAATATTTTAATACATATTTTTTCGTAAAATGTTAAAAAGTTATCTCTAATAACCATATTTTTTTCCTCTACTTTTTAGTTCAAAAAGTCAAAAAATATACTTATATTTAGAACACCCAACAAACTCCCAAATAGAGCCAATCAGTTTATTATTTTCCTAACATCTCCAATGCACTAGGCATATAATACTTGTTAGTTAAAATGCCTAGTGTGATTCACTTTTTTCAATTCCAATGCACTAGGCATATGATTAGGCATTTTGGCTCAACTCATATTCACTAGCTATATGTAGCTAGCCTTCAACGTTAGGCAAAATGTATTTAATCATTAGGATCATTTCCCTCCATCTTTATTGTTGACGTGGCATTCTATAAAATTAATAGTATTTAGATAAATAGCTAAAATAAAGAGCATGGTTGGAGTAAAAACATAAAACAGTTGATAGGCAAAATAAAGTATATACTTTATAGTAATATTTGGATAGGTAAAATGCCTACTACCGTTGGAGATGCTCTAATTTACTTACTGAAAGAGATTACTAAGAAAAATGATTGAGGCCACTAAAAGTGATGCTCTAATAGCATCACTAATGATGTGGCCGTGAACAGAACCCACTGCCTTTGCCTTATTTATTTATTTTATTTAACATTCTCAATATTTTAGGGGTTGTTTGAGATGATCTAAATAAGTGTACTTTTTTATTTTTAACGAAAAAACGTGAAATATGGGTTGTGTTTGAAGTGATGTGATACAGAGATGATGTGATTTAAATGAGATAATGTGACTTAAATAAGATAGTGACTCTTTAACTTTTTTTATATTATGTCAAATTAGGCCTTAATGTTCTTAATAATTTTTTTTTTTTTTTTTTAAATGGTATGAATTATGGTTGGATTACTAAACTACTCACGCTGACAAGTCGACCTCTCAAATCAACTTCAACACTTAAACGTGCCGTAGATGATACTTTTACAATCAACCTATACCAATCCGATCACTAAAGCGGCCAAATAAACGGGACCAGATAGATAGATATTCCATGAAAGCCTTCAATTTCGTAACACACCCTTCACTAGTTTTTATCAACCTTCCAAATAAAACAAATCATATCATATCAATTTTCAAATCAAGTCAACTAAAGCTTTGCGTACATGATGCACTAACTAAGCTAAACTAAACCTTTCACATTCCTAACAAACGAATAATTATTCTATCCCCATAATAAATATGATAAATTACACATATATCCTTAAAGTTTAAATATAATATATATTTTTTATGTTTCGAAAATTACACTAATTTATTGTTATTATAATTATTTAGTCACAATAGAAATATTTAACTGATACATTTTTTTTTACTTTACTGTATTTCTTCTTCTTTTTTTTTATTTATTTCCTTTGTTTTACTTTTTTTTTTTTTATGACAAGCTTGGCATAAATTAATAAATGCACACTTTTTATTTTTTTAAGTCATATCATTACTTTATTTTCTGTACAATTTTTTTAAAAAAATTAAAAAATTCACTTATTTAGGCCATGTTTGGGAACATGATATTTTAGTAATTTTTGACTTTTTAGCTAAAATATGAGGCAAAAAAACTAGTATGTTTGGAGTAATTTTTTAACTTTTCAAGAAAAGACGTGTAAAAAGTAAATAGCAAAAGGAATCTTTAGCTTTTTTGTATAAGTTATAGACTTTTTGACTTTTTTAATAACTTTTTGACTAAAATATTACTTGGCAAACGAGACCTTAAATTATTTCAAACCACTCTTTTATATAATTTTTAAAATTTTTTATTAAAAATAATTACTTTTTATATAAACAAAAATTTATAAAATGGGACTATTAGCTATAAAAATGAAAATATAATTTTAAAAATATCAAAAATTAAGGTAGAGGGTCTTTTGAAAAGAAAAAAAATTAATTCTTAATTTTTTATTTATTTTAAATCACATTATTTTTCATAATTTTTACTCATAAAAAAACAAAATAAATTAAAAAAATCAAAAAGATAACCAAAAAACCAACTACCCCAAACACCACATTATAATTAGATCAAACTCATGCGTGTCGTGTAATTTATCTTAATAAATATCTATCTAATCTATTCCTTGCAAATTTCCGACTATAGACTCGAAATTGGACTAAGAAACTCAACCAGTAGAGAGAGAGAAGGAGAGAGAACCATGTCAATGGCGACAATGAACAGCGACCAAGAAGAATACGATCGTCTCAAGGAAGTTAAAAATTTCGACGACTCCAAAATCGGCGTCAAAGGCCTCCTCGACTCCGGCCTCATCTCCTCTATCCCCCGCTTCTTCCACCACCCACCGGAATCTCGCCCCACCACCACCGCCGCCGCCGTCCTCGTCCCTATCATCGACCTCTCCGGCCCCCGCTCCGCCGTCGTCGACGAAGTCCGCAGCGCCGCCTCCACCTTCGGCTTCTTCCAAATCACCAACCACGGCATCCCCTCCGCCGTCCTCCGCCGCACCGTCGCCGCCGTGAAATCCTTCAACGAGCAGCCGACGGAGTCAAAGATGGCTCACTACCACCGCGAGACGGGCCGCGGAGTCAACTTCTCCACCAACGTCGATCTCTTCCGCTCCAAAGCCGCCAGCTGGCGCGACACCATCCAGATGCGGCTCGCGCCGACCCCTCCGAACCCCGAAGACGTCCCCGAGGCCGTCCGATCGGAGGTGTACGAGTGGGACCGGGAGATCGGACGGCTCGGAGACGATCTGTTGGGATTGCTATCGGAGGGTTTGGGAATTGAGAGGGAGAGATTGAAGGAATTGTCGTGCTCGGAGTCGAGGACAATGGCGGCTCACTACTATCCGTACTGTCCGGAGCCGGATATGACGTATGGGCTGACGTCACATACGGATCCGGGGGTGGTGACGGTGGTGTTGCAAAACCAGGTTGGTGGTTTGCAGGTGAAGCACGGCGGAGATTGGGTTAATATTGAACCTGTGCCTGGTGGTCTCATTGTTAACGTTGGAGATATTCTTCAGGTATGTCTGTTGCCTAACAAATAATAACTAAATAATTATTTGTACATTGTATATATTATTATAGGGACTTTGTGATATGCACCTTATAATTAAAATAAAAAATAATATAATTTTAAAGCTCTAATAATAGAGCTCTAATAAGAGCACTAGTGACATGGCAACCTAAAAAAAATAAACAAAAAAAATAAAACAAAGGCAAAAACATCAAATCATACAGTGGGACCCACAGGTTAGAGCTCTTCTAGAGCTCACAATTTAGAGGTCTCAAGCATTTTTCTATATATTATTATAGGGACTTTGTGATATGCACCTTATAATTAAAATAAAAAATAATATAATTTTAATTTTTTGAATTATAATTAAAAAAATGTTATAAATAAAAACATGATATGTAATTAAAAAGTTTATGAGTTATAAGTAAAATAATGTCGTAATTAAATAAAAAAATTAATTATGATTAAAAAAGACAATAGTATAAATAAAAGTGCATATTGTAAGGGAGGGTGTATATTAAAATTTTCCATTGTTGTATTTACATATGACATGCTTTTTATAAAGTGAGAAATTGATTGTTGGGAAAATTACATTTAGTGGAGTAGTGATAAAAATAAAAATAAAAAAATTACATTTTAATGATGACATAATTTTTCTGTGTGGGCATGGGGTAAATCTATTTATGTTCGTGGAGCAATTCTTCTGATTTGTCAGAGTTGTCAAAAAAATATCTATTTGTAGACTCTGTATTTGCAATTTCCCGTTGATTGTTTGGTTTGAAAATAGGCAATATGGTGATGAAGTATTTTTTTGGTTTGTTTTCATAGAAATGTACAAAAATTTGTTTGGTCCCATGCATAAATTTCACACGACACCCTTAATATGCCCGAAGGTGTAGATAGTTCAAACATGGGTAAATTACACTGACACGTTTCTGTTTAATACAGACACGTTTATGTTTAGTACAGATCCTTTCATATTAAAAAAATTATACGTACTATCAGATTAAAATGACATATTTATCCTTAAATGTGAATGATGATGTTTGGTAATACTGTAATAAATATGAGATGTCCAATTATGTTACATCTCCGTAATTTATCATTCCTAACACATCTTTAATGATGTGACAATGAGGTTAGACCTTACATGATCAAATGTTTGACAAATCAAAATTTGACACTTTCACGCATCATTAGGGATGGTTTTTAGGGTGATAAATTAGGTGTCTCAAGTATTTTTTCAGAATGTCTAACTAAGAGGTCTCACTCAATCAATTCTCGGTATGCGTACGATAAAAGTGTCTTGTAATGGCGTACATTAAGATTGGAATTTGTGCTTCTCATATGGTGAAGTTTAGGGAATAGAATTCCGTGCAATAATCAAAATTATTGCATAGATGATTGGGTTTAAACCATTTATTTAATCATTATTGATTGTATTTTGGGCTTGAACTACTTCGTTAAACTTGTAAGATTATTGTAGAGAATCCTGGTCTGAAGTTTAGGCATTTAGTCAATGAATGTGATCCCTCAATTCTCGCTATGAATTCTTGCTTTATGTTAGGAAACCACACCGTTAGGGGAGCTTCTATATACACACATCAAACACCTTCAATACACACACTTAATGAAGGAGGTGTGTAGGAAATGTAGTGAGGAGAGATGTGTAGAGAGTGGATGTTGTGTGTGTAAATAGAAGCTCCCCACCGTTAGGTTAGGTTGGGTTCAAATTTCCATCTCTAGCCCTGATAGATGAGATGAGACTCTCAATTCTCTCTTTTTAAATCAAAACATTCATCTATGTTGCTGGTCTGAAGTTTAGGCATTTAGTCAATGAATGTGATCCCTTAATTCTCGCTATGAATTCTTGCTTTATGTTAGGAAACCACACCGTTAGGTCAGGTTGGGTTCAAATTTCCATCTCTAGCCCTGATAGATGAGATGAGACTCTCAATTCTCTCTTTTTAAATCAAAACATTCATCTATGTTGTGCAAGAAGGCTTTATGGAATTTCCAGTACGCTTCCTTTAACATTTTCTTTGTTCAAATTCTCAACTTGACCAACCATTTTAGAGTTGGATCATCACTGATCTGTAGCAGAACTTGATCTACTAAGGTTGTCATGGTTCGCTGCCATCAGTCTCGTCACTAACATGCACTATAAGATGATCTTTTGGAGGAAACTATAACATTCCCCCATATGGTACCGACTGACGATGATCTGTGTTACATGGACTCAGCACTTTGGGGCGAAGTACCCGTGTCGACATGACACGACACGGGTGCGGGTGTGGGATCTGTGTCGGATTTGGTTGTTCTCTCTCGGACACAGCTCTTTACAGACAGCAAAAATGAAAGAGGAGAGAGCAAGAGAGAACCTGGTCAAAGCTCGATCCAGTCGAAGTCGAAGATCGACTACCTCCAGTTGAAGCTCCATCCGGTCGATCCAGTTGAAGATCAAAGCTCCATCAGTCGATTGAACAGTCGAACACCCCAGACGACTCTCTCTCTCTCTCGCCTTCTCCCTCTCCCTTGCGATCGAGATCGATCGATCGCTTCGCTTCACTTCACTTCTCTCCCTCTCTCTCTCTCTGTCGTTTTATTCTTGACTATTGATATCCCTTTCTTGATTCATATCTATATCTATTCGTATATATCTATATAAAATAATGATAGTTAAAATCCCCTAGATGTTGATTTGTGATTATGTATCAATTTTAAGCAGAATATAACAATCTCAATCAAATAATCAAGACAAAGAGACACAACGATTTTACGTGGAAAAAATCACAATTGGACACCTCCAACTGTGATAAAAAAACCACGGGCAACAGCCAAAAAAATTTAATTAGAACATATTATTTAAAAAATCTAATAAATAAATAAAATAATTAATGTATATTAAAATAAAAATATTTATAAAAAAGTTAAAAAATTTGTCGTGTCCCCTGCCGTATCCATGTCTCCATTTTTTAGAAATTGTCGTATCTCGTGTCTGTGTCCGTGTTCGTGTTTGTATGCGTATCCGCGCTTCATAGATTTTTATTTGTTATTTATATAATATAACTCATTTTAATAACTATATTTAAAATAAAATAAAAAACTATTTAACGTATCTCCGTACCCGTATCCAAATTTAGATACATATCCACGTATTCTTAATTTTTTATTTTGAAGTGTCCGATCCCTAGATACACACCCACACCCGCACCCGCACCCGCACCCAGTACTTGTACCCAAGGTTTTAAAAAATGGTCGCAACCGTTACATAACACCGTTACGTAATGGTTTTGGTGGTTACCGCCACCCGTTACATCCACTTTTGCAGTGTGATTGAGATTCACAGGTGTGTCGGCCGTAGCGACTGCCGTAGCGGTCGTAACGGTGCCGTAACAACCGTAACGGCTTGTTACGCACCGTTACGTAATGGTTTCAAACTGCTTCTTTTGAAAAAACACACAAAAAAAGGCTAAAAATGGGGGAAGAGGGATAGAGAGAGAAGAGGGAAGATGGAGGAGCAAGAGATAGAGAGAAAATAGGGAAGATGAACATGCTATTGATTTGTTGAAACTGTAAGACTTATGCTATTCTATTAAGATGCTATCACTCACATTTTGTTTGAAAATAATAATAATAATAAGTGTAGTCATTATCTATTTGGATTGATTAAAATATGTATATATATATTTAGTTGGCTTGGTTAAAATATATATATATATATATATTTAGACTCTTATTTATTCTTTTACTTTTGTTATTGTTTATCTTATATATAATAGTTAGTGATTGATTTTTTGTATAATATAAGGTCATTAATTATTAAAATAAAATGTAAAAAACTCAGTTTATAGTGATTTAAAAATATGAAATATATTGGATCATACTTAAAAATTTATAAAAATTGATCAATATTTATTTTAAACCCAATAAATATGATCATGGAAAAACAATATGCGTATCGGTAAGTTTTTTTCAAATTATTTGAAAAATAAAAAAATTCACGGTTCCAGTTACCGCAACCGTTACGGTACGGCCTTTACGCCCCGCAACCACAACCGCGCCACCGCCACCGTTACGGCGACCGCAACCACTTTCAAAACCTTGCTCGTGCCCGAGTCCGTGTAACATATCGATGATGATAAGCATGGCTGCATGGTAAATGCCCAAGAACTAATAAGCTGCAGTGAACAAAAGGAATGAGACTTGGCACAAAGATGTCATGTCAGCCAAGGCTTGTCAAATACTTTAGAGTCGCTCTAAATTTTTGGACATCATTAAGTTTTAACCCACCATTAATGTAAGATCAATGATAAACCACAAAGTAATATTATCTCAAAATCAACCTTGATATAAAAAGAAAGTCTCCGAACATAAATAGACCTTAATCCTTCAGCATTAAATAATTCACCATTGATTAACAAAAAATTAGTTAAACTTCAAGATCATTCTGTTACATAAAAAAGAAAAAAGAAAAAAAGAAGCTACATATACTAGTACGACACTTGTTCATACTAAACTTGAGAAAAGGCTTGTAGTCTTATCACATCCTTGATAAACAATTGACTAAGTGACTTCAAAGTATCCGACTGTTCGATAGGCAGAAAGTGTGTTGTCTTAGTCAGTCGATCTAGTATAACATGTATGCACTTATGCCCTTGAGGCGATCGAGGCAAACCGGTAACAAAGTCCGTGGTTATGTATTTGCATTTCTATTCCAGTATGGGTAAGGGCTGGAGTGTCCTTATCGGTTTCTGGTGTGTAGCTTTTGTCAAGCATTGCGATACGAATGTTGCTACATCTTTCTTCATTTCACTCCACCAATATCGTCTTTTCAGATTTTGTTTCACCTTGGTTCCTCTGGGGTGTACTGTGAACGTGGAATGGTGAAATTCCTTAAGAAGTTTTTCTTTCTAGGATTAATCACTTGGCACAAACAATCTTCCTTGATACCTCAAGCTCCCATCAGTGTGTATTTTCTAATCTAGCATTGGTTCTTTTGATTCCAATCAAGCTTTTAATGAAAGCAACTACCTGATCAAACTTTTGTTACTCTCTTACCTCATTCAGTAACTGACGTACCCTAAATTCATTGTATACCAATCATGTTCCATTCCTTGAGGGCCGACTAGCATCATATCCGCGCGCGACCCCAAATTCACTTCTCAATTCTGGCAAACTCTGCAAAAAGCCATAGGGACAAACTCGTGCTTTGGCTAGGGTTGCAAACGAGCTGAGTCGAGCCGAGTTAAGTTTTACAATGTTCGAACTTGACTCAATGTATTTACAAGGTGTTCTAGCTTGGCTCGAGCTTGAAACAAGCCAAAATATTTGAGCTCGAGCTCGGCTCATGTAAAATTTATGTAACTTGAACTCAGCTCGTGGCGGCTCGTTAGCCAAGAGAAATCTATAGAAAACATGAACCCTCTGCACTTACATAGAAAATTTTCCACCTTGAAAGGTATTGTGCAACCTATGTGGGATTTTTCAACCAACTCACCAAATGACGTAGTTTGGCACACATATTATTGCATTATTTCAGCCCCACATTGTTGAAGAGAAGCTATGCACAAAGTCCCAACCGTTACAAAAGGTTTATAAGGGTGAGTTGGTGGAAACTATCACACTAGTCAAGGAAAGGAAAGTAAAAGCAAAGCATTGAAAAAAACTTTCAATGATTATTTTCTATTAAACTAATCAAGATTATTTATCATGATCAATTTAAAATGTTTTAGCAAATACAAATATTATATAATATATAATATATAATAATATACGTATATATAAATGTAAATATATAATATATATACTTGAGCTTGCGAGCTTATTCGAGCCAAGTAATATTAAGTTCGGGCTCGGCTCGTTTATTATTCAAACTCGAATCTTAAGCTCGAACTCTTTTATTTAGTTAATGAACCAAGTACGAATGAGCTTTAACAAGCCGAGTTCAAGTTTGTTCATGAACAGCTTCATTCGTTTGCAGCTCTAGCTTTGGCACAACGTTTCATCCATAGATAGATGGACAGTTTGAAAGAACAATACACAATTTGGAGGGCATACTCCGAACTTGTGTCATAAAGGAAGTTGGATAAGCACTTGCCATTGAGTTCGGGCTCCGCTCGTTTATTATTCAAACTCGAATCTTAAGCTCGAACCCTTTTATTTAGTTAGTGAACCAAGTACGAATGAGCTTTAACAAGCCGAGTTCAAGTTTGTTCATGAACAGCTTCATTCGTTTGCAGCTCTAGCTTTGGCACAACGTTTTATCCATAGATAGATGGGCAGTTTGAAAAACAACACACAATTTGGAGGGCATACTCCAAACTTGTGTCATAAAGGAAGTTGGATAAGCACTTGCCATTGATCGAATTTTGCATTCAACAATAGTTTTCAAGCCAGCATCGAAACGGCATCATATGAAGCTCTTTATGGATGACCTTGTCAAGCACCGAGTTGCTGGACAGAAGTAGGGGAAACATCCTTGCTAGGGCCAGACTAGCTCCATGGGACCACATAAAAGGTTAAGGTAATTAGACAAAGTTTGATCACAACCCAAAGCAGGCAGAAGAGCTATGCCGATCAACGAAGGTGACCATTGACTTTCGAGGTGGGAAATCATGTTTTCCTAGAAGTCCTTGTCGACGTACCATGTCCTTTGGAAAGAAAGGGAACCTAGCACCATATTATGTTGGACCTTTTGAGGTTTTAAGCTAGGTTGGAGAAGTAGTATATTAATGACATTACCACATAAGCTAGTGGCAATACATAATGTCTCACATTAAAAATGTACGAACCTCATCCATCCCACGTAATCAATTGGAGAGGAATCAATCTCGACGAAGATGCAATTTTTTGAATAAAGGCTCGTAGAATCATGAATCTTGGATAAAAGAACGTCCGAGGCCTAGTTTTCCGCTTAGTACATATATTATGGCAACACCGGGGAGTCGAAGAATTTATTTGGGAAAGGGAAGATGCAATTCACGCCAATTACCCTTAGTTGTTCCAGGATAAAGATAAGATCCAATTTCGACAATGAAATTTCTTTAAGGGGATAGGTTGTGTGAACTTGCAATTTTAGATAACTGTTAAAACACTAGATAGCCAGTTCCCAAATGGGGCCTGAAGTTAGTAAATTAAGTCAACTAGATAGTTATAAACACTAGCCAATTCCCACCCCTTCTTTTCCACGCCATTTTGACTTTGTGTAAGGATTGCTTACCTATGCCAACACTCAACCACCCTAATTACATAGGTGCTAGAAGGGTGGCAATGCCACCCAATGAGGTTACATGCAACTAAGGAATTTCTTTTCTTTTTGTTTTAATTTTTGTATTCAAATTGCCTATATAAGGAGGCTCTTCCCTCCCCCCCTCATACCCACACCCTTCGGCTGAAGGAGAGGAAGAGAGGAAAGAAAGAAAGAAAGAGAGGAGAGAAAGAGAGAGAGAGAGAAGGAAGAGGGGAGAGCAAGAAAGAGAGGGAAGCAAGGAAGGAAGGAAAAGAGGAGGTATCAACTCTTAGCAATTTTTCTTAAAGCTTCTTGAGGTAAGAATACTACCTCTACCCTTATTCATGGCTGATTTATATGTTATATATGCAAGATTATGAGTTATTAGTATACTTATAGCAAGCAAAGTCAGGTTGGTATAATGCATTTTCATCTCTTGGCTGAATGAGGCTTGCATGACTTTTTGAGCTTCAAACGATACCGAACAGTGGTGAGATTGGAACCGTTTGCTAGATAGACAAGTTAGGAACATTTTTCTAGAAGAAATGAAAGGCCAAAAACCTCTGTAATAAAAATTCTTCAAAGAAAATAGGACAGAATGTGTTGAGAGTTCAGTAAACAGCCGTTTCTCTTTTAATATTTATCGGTTCTTAGTAAAATCAGTGGAAAATGAAAGAAAAATCGTATATCTAACTATCCCTAGTGGCCATGCTCGGAAATGATTTTTTTGGAGAAAATGGTGATCATTCAAAGTTGACTGTTGCTGTTGTGTTTTATGCAGCGACTAAGAAAAACATTTATTTCGGGTGCAAAATACCCTCCGATGATTTTATAAAAATTCATGTTTATAATAGTAGATTCTGGACAATTTATTTGAGCCTTATCAAGTCATTAGAAAGGAGTTTTCTAAAATTTATTTGAGCCTTAGCAAGTCCTAAAAATTCTGGACAATGCTGAAAACTTGATGTTTTAGTAAAGATGAGCCATCACCACTCTTTTTTACACACATGCAAGGTTATTCAAGGATAATGAGATGTAATCTAACATGTAAGGAAGTAAAATCAGTAGATATACTAACAAGCTAGAAGAGAATGAAGCTCAAAAAGTCATTCAAGCCTAATTCAACCAAGAGATAAACATGCATTGTACCAACCTCACTTTGCTTGCTATAAGTACTACTAACACATGGTCTTGCATATATAACATATAAATCAGCCATGAATAATCTGAAGGGGGGTAGAGATAGAGTATTCTTACCTCAAGAAACTTTAAGAAAAATTGCTTAGAGTTGAGATCTCGTCTCTTCCCTTTCTTCCTCTCTTTCTCTCCTTCAGCTGAATGGTGTGGGTATAAGGGGAGAGCCTCCTTATATACGCAATTTGTGTATAAAAATTAAAACAAAATGAAAAGAAATTTCCTATTTGCATGCAACCTCAATGGGTGGGATTACCATCCTTCTGGCACTTAGGTAACTAGGGTGGTTGAGTGTTGGCATAGGTAAGCAATCCTTACACAAAGTCAAAATGGCGTGGAAAAGAAGGGGTGGGAATTGGCTAGTGTTTATAACTATCTAGTTGACTTAGTTACTAACTTATTAGCAAGTTCTCATTTAAAAAATTTTGAATATAGAAAATAACACAAAGAATAATCACAGAAAATAATGCATGGAGTTAAATTTTAAGGAGTTCAAATTGTAGATGTTTGTATAGTAACACTTGTTTATAAAGTTTTAATTTAGTTATTGGAAACTTATCTATTTAAAATAATTAAGCTTTTAACAGTCATATGAAATTATGAGTTCTCACAATACCTAACTCAGATATCAATCAATTCTTGGTTTGTAATAAAAGTGTCTTCTAATGCATCTTAGGATTTAAATTTGTGCTCCTTGTATCATTATATGGTGAATTTGGAGTGCTTTATGATCCCTTAATTCTCGCTTTATATCCTTTCTTTCTTAGATTCACGACATCATGCTTGGAGGCTTGGGATCCTTGGTTTGGTTGCTTGTCTGCTCATATGGTCGCCTTTGTTCCCCTGGCCTGGTTGACTAGCCTAGTTAGATTATCATTATCACACACAATTCTATGCTTGTATATTTTAGGATATGTGCAATTTCAGATCACTATAAAATTTATCTTGAATTGGTCAAACTAAAGTGAGAATGGTTACAGTCTATCTACATGCTTCAACAATAAATTGCG